TGAGAGAGTAGGCAAACATTACCAAGTAACTCAGAGGGAGATCTCATTCCGAAGAGATCTCAATCAATCTTTCCGCTTGATGCCAAAGAGGGTCGAATCGGGGCAGAAACGAAGATTCATGGGCCCTCGCCCCCTTACTCCCCCCCCCCCCTCCCCCAAATCGTCGTCCTATTTATTTGAGGATAAGGCCCAAATAAATACGCCGACACGTAGGGGGTGAGGCTCTGCCCGAGACCAGGGAATATGATCCATTTTCGAGCCCACAATCGATCGTCGATGTCACACTGAATCATTCCCTGCGATGCGGCACGAGCCAAGAGCCAATACGACTTTTTGAAAGCTGGCCCGATGAGAACGCTCCCTCTAACGACGTTATTGCTTCCGACGGTGAACTCCGATGCTTGTAAGGCTGCCTTCGTCGCAGTTTTACCTGCGTCGGATTCGGGTTTTTACTTTTTTTTTCCGAGCGACCAATTCGAAACAAAATGCAAATTTCTTTCATCGTAGAGTAACTCATCCGTGCAGTACATATCCAGCAAATACCCGGAGTAAAATTTCACGGTTTACGGTCCAGAAGCAGGCAAAACCACCCGCACGGCACGGAGTCGGAACGAGAATTGGAGGGACGAAAACCGAGGTGGATGGAGGAGGTGCAGGGCCGGATTAACCCATAAGCTAATAAGATTATAGCTTTAGGCCCTCATATTTTTAGGCCCTACTTTAGGCCCTCCTAAATTATTTATTTTGCAGCAATATTTAATTCATACTTAGGTCCTTCCCTCCCATTAGCCTTAGGCCCCTCATAATTCGGCCCTGATCTGGATCCATCAATCCGACCCTGAGGAGGCGGATGACGGAGGTGGATGGTGGAGGTGCCACGTGCGTGTCGGGCTCTGACTATCTCCTTCCATCTCTCCTGCATGGAAGGTTGCGGGACTTCCCTCGAACTTTTTTTTCCCTTAAGGAGATTACGAGGGGCGGGAATCTCGGCGATAAATCTTGGAGCCGGATATTGTCGCGATAAGTCCCGAGCTCCAAGACACGGTAAAGCTTATGAGCCCAACCCGAGATCCAGTCCCGCTTATTTACGGCCTCCTCCGATAAGGAAATTATAATGTGGATTCATGTAAGTCCCAGCGGGACGGAAGACCCAGGCGGGACAGATGGCCCTTCGTCCCCGGCCCCAGCCAATCCCGGCCTCGGAATCTCATCAAGCCCAATGAAACGGGCCGCTCGTTTTTATGGGGAGTTCATTTCGACAGGAAATCGCCAGTTACCCGTCTGGGACCATGGACCGCCAAATCGAGTGATACGCCAGATTCCTCCTTCGACGAAAAGAAAAAGAATCGGGAGGAAATGCATAGGAAGCGCGGATTGGATTCTGGAAGCGAGCCAACGTGTAGAGGAATCACGAAGTCCCCCATATTGAAGGCGCCACCCACACCCATTGTCCTCCCTTTCCCCGATAACCAGGCCATTCTCCCCCCACCCTCCCCCCTCCATTCATCCCTGACCCTGGAGACCACGGTCAGTTGCGTCGAAGGCAGGCCACTCGTGTTTATCCTCCTTCGATTGAGGGAGCGACACCCATACCAGCACAGCATACTAATCTGCTCGGGCTTGAAGGCTTGCAGAGATCTATGCCCTTTCCCCCCATTTTTTTTTTCCATCTGAGACATGCTTCTACCTTGGAAGAATTTCTGAGGCTACTTCCGAAATAATCTTGCTGGGAATTTTCCGAGGTTTAACGGCGAAGCTAAGCTTTTTTGGATTTATGCGCATGGGCGCAAATTTTTTATTTTAATTTTAAGAAACTGGAATAAACTCAAGCCAATGCTACTATTTACCTGAAGTGCAAAAGCGATAGGTAAAAAAACATTCCGATCAGGCACTACATATTTCCGGTAACAAAAAGCGACTCCATCGACCCCCTGCACGACAAAAATCCACTCCCAAAGACGAAGCAACACTGAGACCGAAGCAGGACATTCCGGAGACGGCCGCTGCCAAAAAATCACAGCGGAAAAATGGTTCTCCGCAGCGACAGTGGCGTGCCAGGGACATTTGTCAGGTGGGGCAGCCCCGCCCCGATGACACCCACCCCGCTTATGTATGAAATGCAGTGTCGTCGCCAGGATTCTGGCATCCTTGAAATGCGGTTATGATGGGGGAAACCTGCTGCTGACAAGGGGAAGGCGGAAAGTGGGGAAGGGGGAAAGTGGGGGAATGCTAAGCCAAGGACCACTTTGCTCTCACACTGCATGCCGTTGCATTAAAGTTAGGATTCGTCTAATCCTCCTCGCTTCTCTCTCAGTTCCTCATTTCGTGTTTCGCTCTGGTGAGTGAAACGTAAATTGAGAGGAGGAGGAGGGGGGGGGGTCCTCCCTCCCATCTGCGCTCCCCCACTGCATATATGACAGCCGCGCATATATGACGCATTCCTGCCGAGATTCATCATCCCTGGCTATTTCTGCTCCTCTCGTGACATCGTGAACTGAATGTGTCTCCTGGGACTTCGTCTTCAATCTCATTTTGCTTCCTCTTTCCTGATTAGCACGGTAGCAATTACGAGCTCAAGTAAAAAAAAAAAAATCTCTGCTCAATTTCGTTTCACATTTTTGTTGAAGGCTCGCTGGGGACCACCCGCCCAATTCCGGTTCTTAGCCGGAAAGAGATCGAAGTAAAGAAAAAATGCAGAGAATTTGAAATAACGAAGATTTTTTTTCCATTACAAGAAATCTACGAGAAATCTCATATATTTCCTCTGACTTCATCCTTTCTGACCCGCAAACGTTTCAGGTGAACCTTTCAAGCTTCCCTCTCGGAATTTTCTTCGCTCACCTTGGTCTCTCACAGAACAATAAACGACGAAATAAAAACGAATTCCAGACCAACCGTCCCAGCGCGGTTCTTGCCCCTTCCGCGATCGCGACCGAAATTCGAGCGGACAGCCGCACGCGAGTCCAGTGCAAAACTCGGGTAAGGAGAAAGAGTTCAGTCGGAGGAAATTTCATCAACTGCTGTCACGCATGACGGATGGTCGGATGAAACAAATAAAAAAGCTTTTCCCGTAATAATGCAGAAGATTGAGACAAATTGCGTGTGCAGCTTTCCCCGGTAATGAAGTCAGAGAGTGTCAAGAAAAAAAACTTTTAGCCGGTAAGGCGCTTCGAGTTCATTCCGGTCTCCCTCTTTCCCCCCGTCAACAATCGATGAAGATCGAAAAAAAAAAGAGAGAAAGAAGATACTCTC